TTTCAAACATTTATAAGCTTCATTGAGTTATACTGTTAGTTATATTGTTTTCAGTCATTCAGTCAATACACATTAAGTTATACAGCCTCGCTGACTTTCTTGTAACTGTAATTATTGCTACTTCAATACAGTGTACTTGAACGACGCTGCAAGACTCTGCTCTTCCTACACACAAATACACACATGTACAAACTCTGAGCCTCCATTATGTGATCCACACATGTACTACGGACATGCAGTACTAGTTACAGTATCAACACACGCCACACGTCTCTCCTCGTGTTTCAGCTGCCCCCTCTCCAGGTGAATATGACAGAGGTTATCAAAGAGGAGATAACAAGAACCCGTGTGTTCACTTCTGCTTCACTTAGCTGAAGACATGTGCATGTTCAGAGTTGCAAGACCTTAGTAATATTTTTCAGATTAATGCAGAAACTATTTTTGAAATTTGTCAGAACAGCCGACACGTTTTTCAGGTATAAAGACCAAAGACAGTGAGAGGTGTGTTCAGTCAGGTATAGAAAAGGCTTCATGTTGATGTCCAGAACTGTCAGTACTGTATTATTTACTGTAAGCTGTCTTAAGCCAAGTCATCCTCCTACCGTAAGCCAATTAAAACCTTTGTTTGCTCCTTTAGGTGCAGGATGACTTTTTTTTTTTAACTACAGCAAAATTTCATCTGGTTTAACTGCAGTTATATCTAAAAGCAAGAGTAGGAGAACTACTACTAAAAGTATAATTACACTAATGATCTAGGCTACTGGAATTAGTTATTTCAACCTGTGTATCACATTATGCAAGTTCATCTCCTATACTGTGGCACCTTTTCCTTTCCACCATTTGCAACATTATACACCTATCAAGGTCTTGCTGTCTTCCCAGGAGACAAACTGAAATGCTGAGGCAGAGCAACAGTTTGTCCCATCAGCTCTACATCTGCTCTGTTCTGCACTCCGTACCTCTGAAATGAAACAGCAGTAGAACAACAAACATCAGCTCCATTGTCACAAAGTATTCAGGTGTCTATGATTTCCTCCCTAATGAGAGAAACCTGCCGAGTTACAATGTCGTGTCTCAGAAAATTAAGCAGGAGCTGTCACAAAGTTCCCAGACCTGAGTGCTGTTCTTCATTTTTCCACCACAGAGTTAAGACATTCATGAAAAGCACTCTGTAGGCTGGACCTACAGTGATAAACTGAAGAGTTTACAGTAAGGCTTTAACAGATATACTGCTCTTATCTAGGCTATTGTAGACTCTTGGATAAAGGGATACACTCCATCTCCTCTGGGGATTCTATTTTCAGTTTCCTGTCTCTGTCCACTTCTTTTTCATTTTTGGCAGCATACGGGGGACGTCAGATGCGTCCATTGCCATGTGTGCTGCTTCGGCGACCACACATGGGTTGGGAGGAGTAATGTAGCTCGGCTGTGGAGAAGGTGGAGGATGAGGAGTTCGGGGAAGAGGAGGAGGTGAGTCCACAGGCCTCACAGGCCAGAGCCAGCTGCCTCAGGGCATCTAGGGAATCCACCTTGGCTCCCCGTAACAGATCGCTCTGCCCCTGCAGCACACAGGGAGACACATTTATCTCATTCAAGTAAAGCAGAAAATGAAAGTTTAGCATTTAATCTATGTTCCTTTCTTTATTTTTAGCTGAGGGTGCTGCATTAAAATAATTTTTTATGGCCACTTGGAGGCCTACGCGTCCAACACAGCTCAGTTACTGGTTTCCAGTGGATTGTAAAGAAAATGTCTACCTCTTCAGTAGCTGCTAAATGCTCCAATATCTTTACCAGATGGTTACTAACTTTGTCTGTGAGCAGTTCTGTCTGTTAATTGTTTTGCTGAAAACAGCTGCCTAGTGGGGTTGAAAATGAGACTGCAGAATCGTGGCTGCTGTTAGCTTTTACTCAACCATGAGGTGAGTTTAGCTCTTTGTAGCATTCAACTTTGTAGG